TTTTTAGAAATCTGATGCATACTGTATCACTTTCTCAAAACAACAGGATTTTTAAAACATGGGAAATTTAACTGTCAAAGGAGAGATAATTATATAACAAAATGTCTTTAATGGCAGTTGGAGTGAAAATAAAGTTCTCTAAAATGAATTTAGTTCCCAAGCTCTCCCTCCAAATGTAAAGACATTGCACTTAATTGTATTGAGTTTAATGCTTCAAACACTGTCCAGTACTTAGTTTTATTTTAACTAACTTGATTTGAAAGAATTCATTGCAAGAAAATTGTCTTCAGTAGAGACAAATTGTTTTGTTGTTCTTTCTTAAGTTTGTAAAAGGATGAGAAGCACTGTTTTGGAGACACGATTCCCAACAGAAGGGAATCCTTTGGCAGCAAGAACAGCCTTGGCAGAAAGCCACCTTGTAAGGGAAAAGGATTTCATCTTGTGTTAAAGTAGGGAGTGGTGATGAGTTCTGAGGCAGAACGTGAAGCCCTGCTATACAAGGTGGGCCAGGGAAGAACCGTCTGCATGGAAATGGTGTTTTACAAAAACTCCATAGGGATGCCTCATCAGAAATTGATGGCTTTCTAGTTACGTCCCTTTCCTAACTATCTGGAAAGATAAGTCACTGCTCCAAAGAAGAGATGGTTATTCTGCTCTGGACTACAAGGGTCTTTCTTCAGCCTTCATTACAAAGAAAAGAAAATAACCATAAATTGAGTAAAATAGTACAAGTCTGGGCTGTCTCCTGACTATTTTCTTTTCATTTTTTCCAGAAATGGAATCACTCACACATCTCTAAAAGATTTTTTTTTCTTTTTACTGACTTCAGTGATGGAGATTCTCAATTTCCAGTTGTCCAAACATCGTTTTATGATACCGTACAAAAGATAATCTTTTGTCCTTTATATTTCTGTGGTAGTTCTCAGTATATATGTATGCTCATAGGTTTACGTATTTTCAAGCTGATCTTTTCAGTTGAGGGGAATGCTATTTGACAAAAATATACAGCAAAACCTGTAAGAACCAGAACTCAGCAAGACTGCCATGTTCTCTGGGGTTAGAAGAGTTTGAACCTTTGACAGGCTGTAGGCTTACCACTTTGCTGTTGCTGTTAGTAATAGAAAAGTAGTAGATTTGACTTTTCCTTCCCTGATAGATTCTGCCTTATACAAGTTCTGACTTTCACAGGTTTTACAACTGTGGATGTCAAGGATAGGACAGTCATCTTATGCGCATGTGTGCAGCTATCTGTGGCATTACTGATTCAACATGGCCGGTTATTCATATGCTTATTGATTATCCAGGTGGTCAGAAACAGCCATCAGAGTTATTGTGGTGGTGGTGGTGGTGGTGATGGTGTACCATCTGGTCGGAACCAACCCACAGCTGACCCTCTAACAGGTTTTCAGAGGTGGTTAATCTCACAGAAAGAGATTGCCCATCTTTCTCCTGCGAAGCAGCTGGTGGCTTCGAACCACATGCCTTCAGGATTGCAGCACAACTTCTTGCCACCAGGCCACCAGAACTCCCTTTCTTTTTTATTACAAATGACTAGCAGTAGAAATAGCGAGTAGAATAATATCAAAGATGCCTATACCCATTTCTCCAGAGACACAGAACATATAGGACTACTAGAAAGTAAACTTTAACTGAATCAATAAAAAATCTCAAAGAAAACACCTTTCCTGGGTATCCAGAAAATGCTAGATAACTTGTCTTCCGTGTCATTCCTCTATCAGAATCAACTTCCTGAGGCTTAATTTCCCCTTCCTTCCCGACACCATGAGTGTCTGGATAGTGCAGACCATTAACAGACTCATCTGCTGACCGGCTTACATAGCAAGTTTGAGTTCGTCCAGAGATAACTCAGAAGAGAAGCGTGCTTTTGAAAATACCAGCCATTGAGATAACATCAATGAATGGGATGTTCTGAAGAGTTAAGTCCCTGTGTTCATAGAAAACTTTTTCCACTCAGGTGAAAAGAAAACCTATAGACTGCTCAAAAGTATTTGGCACTGAATGACATCTCGGACAAGAGGTCTCATATCATAACAAGAGTTTACAGAATGCTATAGGGTCTTCACAAGAAAAAGACTGATGACCCAATAATAAGATGGTCAAAAGACATGGAGGGAGGGGAAGAGACATAGACTTTTTACAATGGAAGACTTTCGGATAGCCAACAGATACATGGAGAAAGCTCAAAATCACTAGTAATCAGAGAGATGTGAATCAAAACGACAGTGAGATACTATCTCACCCAGCAGCAACAGCAAAGTTTAACAGGACACCAAGCAATAAATGTTGGAGGGGATGTGGAGAGATTGGAACTCTTTCATACACTGTTGGTGGGGTTGGTTGTAAAGTAGTATAGCCACGCGGGAAGGTATTTTGGTATTACCTCAAAAAGATGAACATAGAAATCCCATATGTACTAGTGTTTTAGTACTGATTTGAACATTTGAGATAGATTATGAGCTATTCCACTGCTCGGGAATATACTGCTAGGAAAATAGAACTGAGATACAACAGATGTTGTGCACTGATGTTCATAGCAGCATAGTCACGATAACAAGGCCATGGAAAGAGCCAAAATGTCCATCAGTAAACAGTGGCTTGAGAAATTGTAGGACATTCACACAATGGAATACTATACAACAAACACTCCAGAACAATGAATTAGAAAAATACTGCATAACCTGGGGGAGGCTGCAGAGCATTGTCCTGAGTGAACTAACTCAGTCTCATAAGGATAAATATGGCATAAGACCATTATTGTAAAAATAGAAGGATAACTAATAAGATGTGTCTAGAAGTCCCAAGGGGGCAGGGGTGGGGCAAGTGGGGGAAGGGAGGAATTCATGAGGTTGCGGAGTTTGGTGGGGGGAGATAAAGGGTCGAGGGAATTAGAAAAGAGCCAGTAAGAACCTGAAAAGATAGGGTAATAGTGGGCATAGATCAATTGATTAATTTTATAAAACACAGTATGTAGGAATAATCGTGTGAGACACCTGTGAATATAGAAATAAAATTGAAGACTGAGTGGTGCACAGCTCTATGCTGATATGATTGAGTTAGACAATTACAGTCATATCATCTCTTAACACTTCTCTTGTTCATTACGGTCAGCTTTATATCATTTTCTATAGGAGATGGTTTTTATTATTTGAAAATTAAGAATATATACCCTAGATGTGTAATGAAAACATCTATTTTAGAACTTGTGTGAAATAAAGGAGGAGTGTAGAAAAGTTAAGTTACAAGGGACCTTGGCTCTGCCACTGCTTCCGCTGTCCGTTGGAGTTGACTCCTTGGTAACTAGTTACTGGTGTTCTAACTCCAGCAGAGTTAGCAGCCTTGTGCACCTTAATAGCTTTGCGTCTTTCCTTCATCAAACTTATGCCTCTCCTACTTGAAGACTCCATTATGGTGGAGTGTTTCATGTATTAACTTTTTATCATAAACTGAAACCTCAATATGAAAAACAATAAAAGGCAAAAGAAGAGACTATATCATATATGCAGGGGTTTTTTTCATGTCCTTGCATAGTCTGTAAACATGTTAGGTGTCATTTCATTGTGTGCTTTCATTTACTAAACATTCAACCACTGGATGTTTAAAATCTTTCTGATTCTTTTTCTATTATAAAGAATTGTTATTTTTATAAATAATGTTGACCAGACAGCTGTGTTCTTCAAATATTGTCACATATTGTCAAATTTTGGCTCATTTTATTAGAGAAATTATAATTTAAAACTACTCAGTTGTCACTTAAGAATACTTGTAAGAACTTTAATATACATTCAGAAGCCTCAGTAAGGCTGTAGGGAGCTCTGGTGGCCTAGTGACTAAGGAGCTGGCCTGCCAACCGAAAGGCTGATGATTTGAATCAACCAGCTGCTCTGCAGGAGAAAGGAGCTTCTGAAAACCTGCTGGAAGATCATGTATGAGTTTCCACTATTGGCAAAGAGTTTGAGGGCGGTTGTTTTTTTCTAAGTAGTGGTGTGTACTAAGTGTTTGGCTACCAGCTAAAAGATTAGAGGTTCAAATCCACAAGCCACTCCATGGGAGAAAGCTGAGGCAGTCTGCCTCCATAACGATTTTAGTCTTGAGGGAGCTCTGGTGGCCTAGTGGCAAGAAGCTGCACTGCAATCCCAAAGGCACACAGTTTGAATCCAACAGATGCTTCGCTGGAGGAGGGACAATCTCCTCCTGTGCCCATCCGATCCGATTAAATGGTACACAACAACAACAACAAAAACAACCACCAAAAAAACCCAGCAAAAATATTTTAATCTTGGAAACTCTATGGCAAAGTTATAATCTTGAATCAATTTAAAGGCAGTGGATTAATATAGATCATCCAGTATTCAGAGTTTGTAACAATGTACAACTTCTGTAACTTACCGTACTTTTCTCTTTCATGAGCAGTTTATTATTCATTTGCCCATATTTTTGCTTTATTTTTCTTAATTGACTTCTATGTGTTTATAGCATATTGTGGATATTAACATTTTCTTTTCGTTAATATTTTTACTTAAAAATCCTCCAGCTACTCAATTTCAGTGATATTACCACTAACAGCGGTATTTGCCCATACATTCAGTTCTGCTTTATATCATTTTAAATAGGAGATGATTGTCATTATTTGAAAATTAAGAATGTATGCCATAGACAGAGTACAAAAAACATCTATGTTGGAACTTGTATAAAATAAACGAGCAGAAAGGTTACAAGTAGAAAATACAAGTAGAAAGGTTACAAGTGCCCTTCATCTGCCACTGCTTCACTGCTGACGCTGTGTTTGATGTGATGACTCTTTAAGTGTGCTAATTACAAAATTATCAATCCTTTAAGCAGATCAAACATTTGAGAGAGATTATGAGCTGCTTTGAAATTTACTGATTTCAAATGAAATTCTGGTAATCTTTCATTTGCATACACACTCAGTTAAAATGACAGCCCCTGATATGTTCTCTCTCTTTTATTTTTTTTTTAAGACAATTCCTCCTCGCTCCAGGAAGATGAAGAAGTAGAATTGGAGGCCATCAGCTGGCAGGCGAGCAGCCCAGCCATGAATGGGCATCCTGACGTCCCTGTGACAGCGGCTCAATTCCCCAGCTGGGTCACTTTTGAAGACAATGAAGTTGGCTGCCCTTTGCCAACAGCCACCTCTCCTCTGAAGCCAGACGTGCCACCCATCACATCAGTGATCCCAGATGGACGTAATACCTCAGCGGGGTCCTTTAAAAAGAGGGAACGCCCCAAAAGCACGTTGATGAACTTCTCCAAGGTTCAGAAGCTTGACATCTCCTCCTTGAACCGTCCACCTTCCCTAACCGAGGCCCCGCCCTCCATAGCAGAGGCTCCGCCCTGGAGGGCCACCAACCCTTTCCTGAATGAGACTCTGCAGGATGTCCAGCCCTCCCCTATCAACCCTTTCAGTGCTTTCTTTGAGGAGCAAGAGAGGCGTTCCCAAAACAGTTCCATTTCTAGTGCTACCGGCAAAAGCCAAAGAGACTCCCTCATTGTCATCTATCAGGATGCCATTAGCTTTGATGACTCGAGCAAAACTCAGTCACACTCTGATGCCGTTGAAAAACTCAAGCAGCTCCAGCTCGATGATCCAGATCACGTGCCCAGTGCCACACTCCCCGACGATGACCCCATAGCCTGGGTTGAACTGGATGATCACCCACCCGCTTCTGCGCTTTCCCAGCCCCGGGATGGATGGCCAATGATGCTCAGGATTCCCGAGAAGAAGAACATCATGTCCTCCAGGCACTGGGGACCCATCTACGTCAAGCTGACAGATGCCGGTTCTCTGCAGCTGTATTACGAGCAGGGCCTGGAAAAACCATTCCGTGAGTTCAAACTGGAGATCTGCCATGAGATTTCCGAGCCCCGGCTCCAGAACTACGATGAGAACGGCAGGATCCACAGCTTACGGATCGACAAGGTCACGTATAAGGAGAAGAAGAAATACCAGCCCAAGCCCGCCGTGGCCCACACAGCAGAGAGGGAGCAGGTGATTAAGCTGGGCACCACCAGTTACGAGGACTTCCAGAGCTTCATCCGTGCCGTTCAGGACTGTCTCATGGACCTGCCCGTGTCCTCCACGGACTTGAGCACCGTCGGCTTGAACTACCTTGAGGAGGAGATTACGGTGGATGTCAGAGATGAGTTCTCCGGCCTCGTGAGCAAAGGCGAGAACCGGATTCTCCAGCACCACGTCTCGACCCGGATCCATGTCCTGAGCTTCCTCTCGGGCCTGGCCGAGTGCCGCCTGGGCCTCAATGACATCCTCGTCAAGGGGAACGAGATCGTCTCCCGGCAGGACATCATGCCCACCACCACCACCAAGTGGATCAAGCTCCACGAGTGCCGTTTCCACGAGTGTGTGGACGAGGGGGTCTTCGGCACCTCGCGGGTCATTCTCTTCAACCCTCTGGACGCCTGCCGCTTTGAGCTCATGCGGTTCCGGACGGTGTTTGCCGAGAAGACCTTGCCTTTCACGCTGCGGACCGCGGCCAGCATCAACGGGGCCGAGGTGGAGGTCCAGAGCTGGCTGAGGATGTCCGCCGGCTTCTCCTCCAACCGGGACCCCCTCACGCAGGTGCCCTGCGAGAATGTGATGGTCCGCTACCCCGTGCCCAGCGAGTGGGTGAAGAACTTCCGCAGAGAGAGCGTGCTGGGGGAAAAGTCTCTGAAAGCCAAAGTGAACCGGGGGGCGAGTTTTGGCTCGGCGGGCCTGTCCGGCTCCGAGCCCGTCATGAGAGTCACTCTGGGAACTGCCAAGTATGAACACGCCTTCAACGCCATTGTGTGGAGGATCAGTCGGCTGCCTGACAAAAACTCAGGTAGGTAGAGCGTGCCCGGCGGTGGACACGACCGGCTGGTTATGAAAGAGCCGAGCTCAAAGGCCTAAATCCTAGTCTGGTATGAAATGTTTATTCTCTCTGTGTGGCAGGGCCTATTACAGAGGGAAAGCGGGACCAGGAGAGTTCACACCATCTCTTTTTTTCACTACCTTCCTCTCTGATGTCCATAAAACTCTGTATTAGACTCTGCTGAGCTACCCAACAGCTTTCTAGAGCGGCTAATGAATGTTTATCCTTTTCTGACTCATGAAATGATTAGTTCTGATTCTGGCAACTGTCCATTTCCAGATCCTGGAAGCTTCCAAGTTCTAAAGAGGTGTCTTTGTAGCGGTGCCCAGGGTGTAGGTAAAGGGCCAATATATGAAAAAGCATCTGCACTTTCCAGGTGAGAAGTTAGACTGGCAGCTCCAGGCGCTCCATAAGGCCCGTCAGTCAGAACATTGCAAGCTCAATATTTGGCTCTGGGACTTCCCGAGGAGGGAAGTGACCTCCACCAGACTGAGGATTCGGGCAGGGAAAGAGATCCAAAGGGACTAAATGATATCAGGCAAAAGGTGAAGGAAGGGATCTTTTCTTTACAGTGCCCCCTGTTTAACCCACCCCACCTCACCCCTCTCCCTACTGGCCCCAGCTGGTCTGCTCTCCACTCTTATGAAGGAGGGTCGCAGGGTGTTTGTGGGTGTGTGTGCTTTAGAAAACCTGAAGGTTATGACTTTCCTTGTTGGTCCACTGATAATCTGAGGAAATAGGAAACAGTAAGTTAGGTGAAAGGAATGCTATTTTCTTTTTTATTTTTTAAAAAAGTAAGTTCCTAACAATAACAATAGGACATCAATATAACATCCTATGTTGAGCATAAAAACAGAGAGTAATAACTCTGTGTCTAAGATGAGAGTTCAGAAAGGCAAAGTAAGGCCACACAGTTAAGAAGTGTCTGGTATAAAACTAAAATAGGATCTCAATAAAGAATTCTTTTAAAAAAAAAAAGTAAGTTCCCTTAAACACTCTGTTTTAAAATGAATTAAGGAAATTAAGGCTAAGCTAGGGAATAATCTTAACCACGACTGTCAGCCTCATTTCTTTTTTATTCTTTATTTTATACTGGTTTATTTACAAAGTTCAAATGCATTGTTTTTCACACTGGATCTTTCCCATTTCCTTCACACACACCCCAGCCCCCCATCAAATTGTGCAACCCTATGATTCTGAAGCTCTGTCTGACATACTTTGGACATGTTGCAAGGTGAGATCCGTCCTTGGAGAGGGACGTCATGCTTGGGAGGGTGGAGGGACAATGCAGGAGAGGAAGACCCTTGATGAGGTGGATTGATTTAGTGACTGGGGTGATGGGGATAGTTGTGTTGGAGACAATAAGGTTGGCACAGGGTAGAGCAGGGTTTAGGGCTGTTGTGCATAGGGTTGCTATGAGTTTCAGACAACTCAACAGCACATAACAACAACAACATGAATAAACCACCCCCCAACCAACAATCCTCACCCCTCTTCGTAAAGGACATGAGAATGATTCCAGTGGTAACAATGCTTGTGATAAGTTATCGCCCTCAAGTAAGAAGAATAAGGTTTGGAAGAACTTTGGCTGACATGTCTCACTCTCATGCAGATACCTTTCTCCCCATTCTCACTTTTCAATCATCAGAGTGAACTCAGGGGCCTCCTCGCCGCCGGATCAGGACACCAGAAAGAGCTGTGTTCTCATGAGGCAGTCTGTGATGGCCAACCAGGACAGCCTATGTTGGAAACTGGGTACAGCAGGGTGGACTGAAGAAACAGTTGAACCCCTGTGTTTGCGGCTGCTTTTGCCAGCCTCTCCTTCTGTTCTGACCGAACTTTTAAGACAAAGTTAACCTCTCAGGGCTTGTTTGCTATTTCCCCTTGAAGTTCACACTGTTTTCTCATGGAGACAGCCGACAGCCACAGTGCTGACTTGTCAGAGCATAAGGAGAAAATGGAAACTCTCCTGAAGGTGCATGGCTACACTCACCAGGCTGCGGCTGCTTCCTATTGGATGACACTAGATACACAGAAATTGACGTCATAATTTCTACTATAAGCATAGACATTTGCCGTTTTCCCCACAAGTTTACAAACACATTATCTTAGTTAATATCCAAGTGCTTTTCTCTTAAATACTTTAGAAGTATCACATGTGGAGTTTGTCCTCACAAACAACAAAGACCTACTAGCAACTGTAAGCAAATAAACAGCAACAACAAAAAAGGCAGAGGGTGGAGATTGTTGGAAGGATCTGAGCAGCTCATAGAACTTAAGGAATAGTTGAACAAGCAGACTTCAAAAAGAATAGTGCTAGAATAGTCTTCAAGAAACAAGCTGGCAGGAACTTCTAAAGGTCTCTCTTGGATGCAACAGTAGGATAAATCCTTACCAGCTTTTTTCTATTCTTGGACCGCTGGGCGGAAAGTCCAGGGGAGGGCAGGTTTCTTTGACTGATATGACCACTAGGATGGCATGCAGAGCTGGAGAAGTCTGATTTCCAAAGGAAAAAGACGTGTCTATTACGTTAAGAAAGGAGGGATTATTAATATGAGATGGGCAAAAATAACAAACAGCTCTTCAGTAAACCCTTTCTTTAACGCTCCCCAGTGTGGTGGGTCCTTGACGGCAGGTTTCCTAGACCAAAATGTCTTTTGATTTCTTGACGGGTGCTGTCATGAATGTTGACTGTGGATCCAAGTGAAATGAAATTGCTGACAATATTTTCTGCTCTGTCATAATGTTGCCTGTTAGTCCAGTGATGTGGGGTTTTTTCTTTGATGTTGACCATATAAAGTCTACAGTCTGTGAACTCCTTCAGAAAGTGTTTCAAGTCTTCTACACTTAACGGCAAGCAAGATTGTGTCCTCTACATAATGCATGTTGTTATGAGTCTGCCTCCAATTCCGACACCACATTCTTCTTCAAAAGACATGTTACATTGGGAAAGCCTGTCAAGGACTTTACCAAAGTGCTAAAGATCTATAATGCCAATAAAGATTAAAGTTCGCCTTATTCAAGCCATGATATTTTCTTTTGCTTCCCATGCATCTGAAAGTTGCACAGTGAATAAGGATAAGAGAAGTATCAGTGCCTTTGAATTGTGTTGGTGAAGAGTACTGAATATCCAGTGCGGTGTCAAAACAACAAATAGATTTGTCTTGGAGAAAGTGCAAGCAGCATTCTCCTGATGAGGGAAGATGGTGAAAGTTTGCTTCACGTACTTTGGACACATTATTTATTACAAGGGACCAGTCCTTGGAAGAAGTTATCATCCCGGAAAGGTGGAGGATCAGTCCAGAGACTGATATGTTCCTGATCCAGGCCATGGTCTTCACAAGGACTTGCTATGCATCAGAGAGCTGGTCAGTGACCAAGAATGACAGAAGAAGAATTGATGCCTTTGAGTTGTGTTGCTGGAGAAGTATTTTGAACATACCATGGACTTCCAAGTGAACTAACAGATCTGTCCTGGAGCGGGTGAAACCAGGATGTTCCTTGGAGGCAAGAATTTTGAGGTTCTGTCTCACATACTTTTAGCATGTTGCCAGGAGGGACCAGTTCTCGGAGAAGGACATCATGCTTGGATGGATGGAGGGACATCTCAAGAGAAGATGACCTGGATGAGATGGATCAGTGCAGGAATTGGGATAATAAGGGTTGATGTGTCAGAGACAACCAGACAGGCTCAGGATAGCGCAGGGTCAGAGTTAATGTGCTTAGAGTTGCTATGACTTGACAGCACATAACAACAACAACAGGAAGTAGTTGCAGCTTATATATTTCATATGTCCAGATTATTAGAAACTTATTTGAGAAAATGTGTGTGTGTGTGTGTGTATGTGTGTATATGTGTGTGTATCTATATCTATCTATCTAATTAGAAACATTTGAGAAAGTGTGTGTGTGTGTGTGTGTGTGTGTGTGTGTACTGTAATACTGCTTTTGCTATCATGGCTAGCAGGGAACTCTGGCCACCTAGTGGTAAGAAGCTGTGCTGCAATCCCAAAGATACTTGGTTCAAATCCACCAGCTGCTCTGTGGGTGTGTATTCCCTTCCTGTGCAATTTACAGCCTCTAAAAACCTGTTAGAGGGTCAGCTATGGATCATTTCTAACTTGATACAGCACATACAACATCATGGCTATATAGTTTAGTAACAAAACAATAAAAAGGAGAGGTGCTCTTTGGCTCCTTTTGTCTAACAGTATTTTCTGCATTAAACCAACTCATAGCTGATCCTGCAGTGGGTTTCCAAGGCTCTAAGTTGTAAAACTTCAGAGAACTCTTGTGGCTAGTGGCAGGAAGCTGCACTGTAATCCAAAAGGCAGCAGTTCAAGCCCACCAGCTGCTCCAACGGGAGAAAGATTTCCTGCCTCTGAAAACCTGCTGGAGGGTCAGCTATGGATCAGTTCTGACTCAGTGGTACATAGCAACAACATCTGCCACTAGGCAGTTCTGGTGGCCTAGTAGGAAGGAGCTATCCTGAAATCCCAGAGGCATGTGGTGCAAACCCACCAGCTTCTCCACAGGAGAAGGATGGCAGTCTCTTCCCATGCAGCGCACTGCCTCTGAACACCTGCTGGAAGGTCAGCTATGAGTCCGTTCCGAATCCATGGTACTCAACAGGAATCTCATCTACCTACCAGCTTTCCCCATCTAGTAGTTGAACTAAAAGTCTAGAAAGATGTTTTCATAGTTGGCATATTGGTGGGCCAAGGAGGGAATTTTGCAGGAAATAATTACTCTTCAATATTCCAGCAGTGATTGCTGTTAAGTGCCGTCAAGTCTCTTGCAGCTCATAGTGACCCTTTATACAACAGCCGTGAACCCTGCTCTATCCTGTGCCAACTGTATTGTCTCTGACACACCTACCCCCATTACCCCAGTCACTGAATCAGTCCACCTCATAGAGGGTCTTCCCCTCCTGCGCTGTCTCTCCACCCTCTCAAGCATGATGTCCCTCT